CCTGTCAGTCGCCGCCCTTAACCCCAAAAAGGGCTCGCAATTCATCGCAGCTAAACAGTGGGATCCCCATTGAGACGGCTGCACATTCCGGATGGCTTTGCACCGTTTCAGTCCCCGCACAGACCCAGAGTGGCCGCTGCTCACGTTCTGTTATTCGTGCGCCAAATATTTGAACGGTAAGAATGCTAACTAGGATTTCCAGAGTCCCTCATACAAGCACTGCCCGGCCACGGCTCTATGACGAAAGTGCAACTAACACATGTCGATTGTTCCATGAACGGCACTCAAAAACAACAGTGTCAAGCTGCAGCGCCTGCAGCTCCACCCAGGCATACTTTGCGCTCAGCCAACCGCTGAGAGAAACACGTTTGTGTACATTTGCGGGAGTTAATGCTGCTCACGGACCGTGCTTCCCGAGGGGAGAGCAGGCGTGCGCATGGCACGGTGGCGGCTGGCATAGCAAGATACTTAGGTGCCCGCTATGCCCTTTAGCGACCATTCCAGAGAACATGCTCCCAGGCTGATGATGCTCGTTGAAAAAATGCATGAATTAAAGTTGTGACTCAGCTCCTTGGGGGAAGAATTGTGTGTGTTCGTGTGGCAGCCCTCACGCGTGATGACCCGCCACACGTTCATTTTCAGAACTTTTTCGCTGCAGATTTAACCAAGTGCAGAGAAGGGACTCGTGAGAGTCCCCAAGCCAGCTACAGCTCTCCACCCAAGGGTTAGAATCTGAAGTGAGCACAGGTGACACTGAAAGCAAGAAGCAAGCCGCATTAGTTCCTACAAATGCACATCAACTTGTCTGCGTGGGCGAGAGGCAGGACTGAATAGATTCTCAAGTTTGACTGTTTTATTTTTGAATGCTGGTTTTTTGTACATCACTCTACATTTGTAAGTTCAACTTTCATGCTGCAGAGAGTGCACAGCTGTGCTCGTATTAGGAGAATTGAGAGAGACTAGTTCTTTTGCTTTTGACTAGGGCTGTCAAGTGATTCAAAACATTAATCACACGATTAATCGTGTGCGCAGCACCGTGGGAGTCTGGGATCGGCTGGAGTCCCCAGTTGACCCCGGGATCAATGCAGCATTGCCCCTTTGAAACACCATCGTGGCATTTCAAAGGGGCAGCTCCAGTTGACCTTGGCTCCACTTTGTGCTGCCCCTTTGAAACACCGCGGCAGCAATTAACATGCCTGCAATTAACATGTTAAAAAAATTATCGCGTTAATTCTGCCACACATTAATCACAGGCATTAACATGCGTTAATGGACAGCCCTAGTTTTTACAGTGCAAATATTTGTAATAACTAGAAAGTTAGCACTGTATGCTTTGTATTTTGTGTTGTGATTGAAATCCATACATTTTAAAATGTAGAAAGCATCCAGAATATGAAATAAATGGTATTCTAGTATTGTTTAATAGTGCAGTTAATTTGTTTAATTGCTTGACAGCCCTAATTTCTGATAATTTCTTATGCTTTGATGATATACATACTAGGGATGTTAAATCCCATTTAGTTAACCGGTTAAACACTAAGTTTAACATTAACCAGTTAAACAGGAGTGGGAGGAATGGCTGGGACTTTTTAGTTTGTAAAATAGATGCCTAAGTAGGGACGTAATAGAGATCTACAAAATCTTGACTGGTGTAGAGAAAATGAATAAGGAAACATTATTTACGCCTTCATACAACACAAGAACTAGGGGTCATCCAATGAACTGAATAAGCAGCAGGTTTAAAACAAACCAAAAGGAAGTATTGCTTCATACAGTGCACAGTCAACCTGAGGAACTCCTTGCCAGAGGATGTGGTGAAGGCCAAGACTGTATCTCAGTTCAGAAAAGAACTAGCTACGTTTATGGTAGGCAGGTCTATCGATGGCTATTGGCCAAAATGGTAAGAGATGCAACCCCATACTCGGAGCGCACTGCTTGTCAGAGGCTGGGAATAGGTGACGGGGGAGGGATCACGGGAGGATTCCCTGCTCTGTTCTCTCCCCCTGGGGCTGGCCTGTGTCGAAAGTCAGGACACCAGGCTAGGACTATTGGTCTGGCCTAGTCTGGCCGTCCTGATGTTCTTACCTGCTGCACCAGGCTTTCTGGATGTCATTGCTGTTTTCTCATCTGGCATGGACTCAGTGCACCGTAGTGTCTCTGACATGCTGCCTTAGCGCCCATCCGGCACAGGCTCCTTTCAGTCTCTGCCCCTGACGGCGCCAGCGCGTGTCTCTGCTTTCCCGTCACACGGCTCAGCTTAGCTCAGCGACTCCGATCACCGGGGGTCGATCTCAGCTGTCGCCGGGCTGGACATGAAGCTTGTTTGCCCGGTGATGAAGCTCCTGAGCCAGGTGCGTGTTTCTGTAGCCCCAAGACGCTGAGTAGCTTACACCGAGCAAGCCAGCCCGCCGCCAATGCC